ACCCCGGTAAATCACCTGCAAGAGGTCAGATACCAGATGTTAAACCCATGCTGCTGGCCTTGCCATTTTATTTCTACCATAGCCCCATGCAGCCAACTCACATCTCTGAAGGCTGTGACAGAATAGGCATGGCCCTTCACCAGCTTCTTGAAGGTCACTGCTTCCATATCAAAGGCACTTGTGATCTGAGGGGGAGGCATAAAGCTTAAGGGAATGAGATAAAATTCATGTTCTCCTATCCCAACCCCTTCCCATCAAAAGCTTTGTCTGAAGAATCAGCCTTGCTTTGCAATCCTCCAGCAAAGGCAAGCAGCAGGTACCAGCTCCTTGTGTTCAAAGGCTGGTGAATGAAGACAATTTAAAGACAGCTTCCCTGCTGGAGGACCCAGAGAGCCATCAGGAAATGATCCAAACTTCAGAAAAACAGGAAGAAGATTTTGTGCTTCCCAAAACACACTGCCATCATCAACAACACAAAAATATTGGCCGTGAAAACTACAAAGCCCAGAACGTGTTAGCCAGTGGATCATTGTGGCACACAGAGATCGCAAAAGTCACTTGCAGAAAACACATAGGCTCCAGCCACACATATAATACTACCAACACACCTTGGATTCTGGCAAGCTACTAACTGTGTTTGGACTGTGTTTGGTCCCACTCAGATTTGCAAATCAAAGGAGTACTACCAGCAGCAGTGATGGGGCAATACACTACCTTGCTTGTGCATGAAAAATGCACTCGCAGAAAACCCAGAAGTGGCTAGTTTGCAGATACTGACAGAAGACGTGGCCAGAGAAGTAGGCTGACCCTCACCCATCAATAGTCCAGACTACTGAACATTTCCAACTGCACCGAAACGAGGCCATTTCCAGAAGCTAAACTGTAGCGCCATGTGTTGTGCCCATGCTTGGTCTGGAAAGGCTGCTCAATAAGGTGGGAATGAAGTAACCTCCTGCCTGGTTTCCCAGCTAAGGGACTGCCAGCACAGGATTTTAGTACCCCAGAAGAGAGTTGTGAGGCCTCGCCTTGGCCATGGCCAGAGGCCAGTGTTCCTCTTTGAGGAGCAGCACACCACTTACATCAATAGAGCAGCCCAGCAGGGATCCCCTCTCCAGTGCCTTGCGGATGATGTGGCCCATGTTGCGTGGCGGCCGTTTGAGGTCGTACATCTCTGCCACACCACCCGTGAAGTCCTCAAAGCCCTCAGTGGTGCTGCCCCCGGAGAGCGACTCGTAGCTACCATTCAGCCTGAGCATCAGAGGGTACAAGGTGGGTACACAAGGTGACAGGGATACCCCACAATGCTGCTTCCCAAGCACCTGCAGACCCAGGGCCAGAGACAGGAGAGCCCCCGGACTTCTGTCTCCTTCCACCAGGAAGGCACACACCAGTTCTTGTGCCCACTGCAGCAGGACTCACTTGGCATAGGCCTTCTCCAGCAGAGCACTCCAGAACTCAGTGCACTCTGCTGAATGCACAAACAGGAGCTCCCCGTCCTTGGTGGGCAGCTGGTCATCAACCACCACATCTACCCACTCGCCAAACTGCCAGATCTGGGGAGAAAAGTGAGGATGAGTGGGCTGGAGGTACATTCAATATTATCCCACCCTGGATAATCCTACACTGAGCAATGTGCCCAGATCACAGACTGTAGGACAGTCCACCCTGCTCCCAGCGCACCCCTGGGCTGCCAAAGGCCCACTGAGGAGGGACAGGAACTCCAGCCTACCTGGAAGTGGAAGATGCCTGCATAATCCTCCTGGAAGCTCTGCCCGTGGGGCACGACGCGGTGCAGGAGCTCCTCATTGAGCGTGAGGGAGCCGATGGCAGCCAGCAGCCAGCAGTCACCTGGGGAAGGAGAGGAAGTCTGGGTGAGGCATGTGCTGCCATGCCAGCTCACTGTCACTTCTGCAGCAGGAGAACAGTGGTGATGCCAGGCACAGGCCAGCAGCACGCCAGTCTGGCTCCCCTGTCCAAAAAGGGCACGGGGAAATTGGAAGAGGTCCAGCAGAAGAATGCCAAACTGGCAAGAGGTGCATGTCCTGTGAGAAGAGGCTCAGGGAGCAGGGTTTGTTCAGCCTCCTGAGGCCAGGCAGCAACCACTTCCCAAGCATATCTGATGGGGTCTCTGGGGGCACCGAGCTGCTGGGACATTGGCAGGGAGCCCAGATACCAGCTTTGTGGGGACCCTCCCAACTTGACACCCTGCCAGCAACTCTCTGTGCTGCTCCTGAGCTGCACCCATCTTGCTGTTTTGGTCTTGAACTTCTCTAGTGTCTCCATCACCATCCCACATTCCTGCCCCACATCGAGAGGTGCCAACACACCTGACTTCTAGTGCACCTAACATAATAGCATGTGCCCAGAGAGAAGAATTAAATCAAGGCACACAGGGAATGCCCCTCTAATCTGGAGCCTCTCTCTGGACCATCTTATATGGTCAGCATCAACAGCTCCTTTCTGCAGTTGTTTCTCAAGACCGTCTTGGGTCTCATTAGTGCGGCTCCCCTCCACACCCAGCATCTTGGGACAGCAAGTTCTACAGTGCAGCTGCACTTTGCATTAATAATTTGTTTTCAATCACTGAGCAAGAGGTTTAAAACACTGCTGCTCCAACTTCTCAATTTGTCAGAAGCAACATTGCCTAGTTCCTTCCAAGAGCTCTTAACCACATGTGCTATTTAAATTCTTTACCTTGGTTACCCTTTCTCTTGCTTTTAAAGCCTCTCATACTTTAGCCTCTAGCTTTGATACCATTTTGTCAAACCACAGCACAGGTTGTTTCTGACTTTGGCCTCTGATGACCAATTAAAAAATACTTTGCTTGGTATCGTTACTTGCTCAAGCTACTGTCCTAACCTGGAGGTGTTAAATGGTTCACGTTTGCGTAAGTCCTGAAACCCATGACCTCTGCTAACATGCATGATATTCATGAAGTGCCCATCTCAATCCAGATCAGAAACATCTCCCTACCTCTGTATCTTCGCTACCCCCAGGCTTGGGGGTCACTCCTGGAAAAAAGGAGGAATCAGTGCTTGTACTACATAGCTCTTCTTTCACTTCTCTTCAGCCCCACAGTGCTACTTCACAAGCACTTTGTCATGACCAGCACCTCCTCACCTCAGTTTATTACTGCTCACCGTCATCTCTCACTCTCTATGAGGGCAGAGAGCTGCATGGAGCAGCTCCCAGCACTGCTGCCTGCCAGTGTGTCAGACACAGATCGACCTGGCATCTCCCCTGATCTTAGCACAGTCAGGTTGTACATTCATCAAGGCACCCTCACAGGCCTCTAACGTGGTGCCAACAGAAGTCACAAAGTGTCCCCCCACCTTCCACAGTTACCACAGCACTAAGTAGGAGGAGAGTCTCTGGTACATAGAAGAGGGTGCATAGGCCAAAATGAAAATATTCTGTATGGACCTGGGGAAACTGGTACAATCTCAGCATACGCCTTACAAAAACACCTCTTCTCCAACCACATCAATGCTATGCGGCTGCTGCTCTCTAGCCCAATGGTTGGTGACAAACACTTACCCAGAGCTCCCTGGCAGATATCTGTCCGTGTTGCACCACCCACAATGAACTGAGGGTCATCCACTAATTCCTGCAGGAGGAAGAGAAAAATGGATGCTAGTGCTGGACCTAGCAGGGCCTATGCTCCTGCAGGGCTGACACCAGTGATACCCTGGATTAAATACCCTCAAAGGGCCCATTTGCTGAGGGCAGCACATCCACACCATGGATCTAGAAGCAATGACAAACCCCACCCATCTCAAAGACCAAGTTCTGTGGCCCAGAAGGAAAAATATGCTTGCTAGGCATAATATTCTTCTGAGCTGACACTCATTAAGCATTGCCCTAATCCCTTGGAAAAAGTACTATGAAGCACTTGAGAGATTGGGAGCATGGAGACCAGCAGGCCAGTGGCAAGCTCCAGCGTGGCACACCACATTAGTGCAGATATTGCAGATGAGAGCCACCAACCCACCCGAGGAGAAGCAGGCCTGATACTTACTGAAGGACGTTTCCACTCCACTCCTCGCGTCTTGCTGGAGTGTGGCCCCAGCTCCTTGAAGCCAAGGGCAGAGGGGCAAGCTGGAAACTGGGGGTCCCTAAAGAGGGTACCGCTCTCCAGACACTGCTGCTTGAGGGCCTCGTAGTCCTGGTTAAGGTACTTGATGGCATTATGGTGTTGGCCGACCCCTTCTGCTTTCAGGCGGTTCCTCTGCAGCTGGGCAGCAATTCCCCCGAACGGCATCATGACAGGGCACCGGCAGCACTTCCTTCAGCTCTGTTCCCTGCAACAAAACAGGCACCGCAAGGCTGAGGCAGGGCACCCCGGTAGAAAGGCAGAGGTAGTCCAAGGTGCCTAGAAATAAAAACCAAGGTTTGAAACAGATAGCAAGCCAAGAGTTGCAGAGGGATGGCATGCCCAGGGCTGGTGGAACATCCCAGGGGCAAAATTAGCAGAATTTTGCACAGCACCAGAGCACTGTGCACAGCTTCTCCTTTGAGGAAGTCGGGGAGACCCAGTTCCCCATCTCCCCTGCAGCAGGACCTCCTTCCTCCATCAGCACTCCCCCGAGGCAGCAGGAGCAGAGCCTAGCTGAGCCACCACCTGGAAAAGCACTCCTGGGTGCGCACACGTGCTGCAAGGATCTCCCCGTGTCCCATCCCCACTGCAGTGCTTCTGTACAGAGAACTGGGTCATGGCCTCCTGCCCGGCCTGTCATGCTCTCACTATCTTTAGCATAAGCCGAACAAGAAGAGCTGATCCTAGCCCAGAAGGAGACAGAGATAGGGAGCGACCTGTCTGCAGTGCCGCAGGCTTCCCAGCACAAACATGATGGCCAAGCGCAGAGGAATTTCAGGCACTTTCCGCCTCCAGAAGTGTCTCCTCCAAGCTTCCAGTCTGGTCATGCTTCTGGCTGCTGCCCATCTCTTATCTGGCCCTCTCCAGGGCATTCCCTGTTGCGTTGGCAGTGCCCAACTCCTATCTCAGCAGCAGAGCAGTCTGGACAGGGCAGACTCTCCTTGCTCCGGTTTCTGATCCATCCACACCCGTGCCAGACAGGAAGGTGTCAGTGGCCTCCTCTGTGCGCTCTCTCTGTGCAGAGGGAAGGAAGAGGCGGGACAGCCCTTCCCCGTTGCGCAGAGTGACTCAAGCAGGGCTCAGTGCGAGCGGGCTTCTGGGAGGCCTGTCCTGTGCTCTGTAGTGCTTCCCGAGCACGGCAGGCACCAAGGAAGAGCCTTCCGGGGCATCTGCCCGTCTCCTCAGGCACCCCCATTGCTCTTGGCGGGACTGGAGACGTCTTGTGAAGGAGACGTGGGCAGCAGGGTGCCCATGGTGTGAGGAGCACCCCTGACCCGAGAGACCAGGGTAGGCTAAACCCCATTGCTGCTCCAGACTCTCATCCCAGTAAAGGTCCTGCCGCATCCCTTCCTCCTCGTGGGTTTAAGCAGCAGCAGCGGCACACACCGAGGTCCTCCAAACAACGTGAAGTAGCTGTGCTGCAGGTCTGACCCCTGCCCTGCTCCAACCACTCAGCGAGGCAGGCCCAGACACACCACTTTGCTCCCAGCTGCTCTCGGCCCTGCTCAGTGACCCACAGCGCCAAGGGCTAGCACTGACACCAAGGACCAAGGTGGAGCAAGTGCCACCACTGTGGTCCCACTGGACTTGAGGCTCTACCTCGTGTGCCGCAAGACTAACCTTCCCAATACCCCTTCCCAGCACAGCAGGGGGCCATACAGCTCCGAAGGGGCATTCCTCCTTAATCTGGAAATAGCGTGATAACTAGGGTCAGCAGGCAACACTGGAAAGGGTATAAGCTCTCAGCATGGGGTATAAGGTGGGAAAACAGAGCTCCTCACCCAAGGAACTACTTAGAAGACGGAGAATCCTTTTTTCCCATTACTCCTTCTGCTCTGGGATGCCCTATACCCATCACCCTTCTCTCAGGTGGTACCATCTCTCTTCTTACCCCTATGACAGCCCCCATCCCATGCCTGTCCCAGGACCCCCCACTCTGAACACACCATCTCCTCCCTTTCACTCCCACTTTAGCTCCATTTCGCACCCAAGCCCTCTCCAGCCTCTCACCCTCCCAGCAGTGAGGCCCATCTTTCCCAGAGGGCTGCTGGGGTGCTTCCTCCCCTTCAAATGTCTATGCAGAGTCCAGTGGGCTGCAGGAGGACATACCCGAAATAGCCATCCCCATAGCCTTCAGCTCCTGCCTCACAACGTCCCCGGCTTCCTGTCCGCCTCGCCATGCTCTGGCAGGCCCAGATAGAGCTGCAGGTGTGCTTGGCAGGGTGTGCTAATCCCAGCCCGAGCAGCATCCCCAGGGCATGGAGAACGCCTTGTATCCGGTCCCCCCTCTGGCAGGGCTTTGGCATGGCATCAACCCCCATCAGGCCACAGACCCTGCCAGGGCTCATGGCTGTGCTAGAGGGCACAGGTCTCTGGGCTTAGCACTATAGGGGCATCCCTCACCAGCTCTGTCTCCTCAATACCTGAGGTACCAAGGATGCAAAAGTAACCAACACCCACATCTTAGTTAAAAAATTACTAGCACCGCCTCCCCTTTCCTTTCCTCCCCTCCAGGCGGTCAGAGGTTGCATTTGCAAAGCTAACTTGCATACCACAACCTGCCAGAGGATATGGCAACTCGCCCTTGCGGCAGACTGCAGGCTGCCTGCAGCCTCTCTCACATTTTCCTCAGGCCTCTCTGGTCACCTGTGTTTTCCTCACCCGCCTGTGCTCCCATGGAAGGATCAGCAGTCCCCCCTTGGCATCTGTGCCCTGTCCCAGGCGCCAGACGAGGCCCTGGACATGCTGAGCTGTGTGCAGCTGGGACAGGGGCGCCACACAAGTTATTCTTAGCCCTGTTACTCAAAATACTCTGGAAGGTTCTGCTCTCCACAGACAGAAAAATAAAGAACAGTGGCAGACTGAAATCATGCAAGCGCAGAAGGACCATTTCAGATCCCAGGCTGGAACAAGGACTAGACTAGACCTTAAAAAGTGATTTGAAAATAAGTCACTGGAGAGGCCTTCTCCATGTTGATGCTGACAGACACAGCAGGTGTCTAACTGGGAGGAAAAGTAATACAGCAACTCAGAGAAAACAACAACAACAAGACCATTAGCCCTCCAGGATAGCTCATGCCACCTCTCCGATCCAGGCAGCATCCCACCATGCTATGATGCTTTCTAGCACCAGGTATCTTTGATCCCTAGACTGGATCAAAAAGACATGTTGGTCCCCACAAGGTCATGATTTCTGATACCTTGTAAGGCAACGACAACAACAAAAAAAACAGGGTCTCCTGTACAGCACCAATGGTGAGGTCCATCCAAAATTTCTGCAGACCTCTAGGTCAGCAAGGTCAGCAGCTGTACTCAGAGGCTAGGTCAAAGAGTACGGACCAAAGTGGAGCTTGCGCCAGAACTGGCCCAAGGCTGCTGAAGGTAACACAGGATGCTGATGGCTCACTCATCTCCCAACACTAGACCTCCTCAATGCAGTGACTGCTCTGGGGAGGTCCTTTCTGTCACCTGACATCACTCCCTTCCTCAATGCTGGCAGCACTGCCTCAGTGGCAGCAGCATGGCTGCGCAGGCAGAGCCTGGAGCTGCTGGGGCAGCCTGCTCCATCCTGCTGGACTGCTGACCCAGCGGTGCTCCAGCATGCTCTGCTGCGCGCTCAGCTTGCAGGAAGGAGTCAAAGGCTTCCATAGAAACTCTTCCTTATGCTGTATGGGAAGCTGTCAGGCCCTTCCCTCACACCAGGTAAAGAGGATCCCCATTTAGGAAGATCCCCATTTTGCATGGGCTCTACTCTGCTTTCACACACCCCCTTGACATGACTTGGCTGTGACAGCAGGCGCCCACTAGAGCAGACATTGGCCAAGCACCTAGACCAGCCTTGACTCCCTGCCAACCCTCCAGGCTGCAGCGATACCCAATTTGCTTTCTGCCGCACCAGGGCAGTCTCCCA